TCTGTGAGGCCCAGTGGCAGCTGCTAGTGGTTTACTGGTGAATAGAGCTGGCCTCTGACCTATCTGGCTGAGAGACCTGCCTGCAAATAGCTGCAGGCACTCTCTACTGTGCATGGCTGGAATCCCCAGAATACAGGCTATTTGAGAGTGGATTGCTGGTGCTATTGGAAGCTGCCTACTGGGTGGTGGGTGGATGTGTTGTGGAAGGGCTCCGATGCATGCAGATGCTGCTTGGAACCTCTTTCTTTAGATTGCAGAGTTTAATCTTTTTATATTTTAATTACTTCAAGGGGATGTCATTTTGCTATTAGTTTTCTATATGCCTTCTTGCATTTTTGTTCTTTTATTGCATTATTTTTTCTTTTTAAAGATTTTATTTGAGAGAGAGCAAGAAAGCACAAGCAGGGGGAGTGGCAGAGGGAGAGAGAGAAGCAGGCTACCCTCTGAGCAGGGAGCCCCATATGGGGCTTGATCCCGGGACTCTGGGGTCATGACCAGAGCTGAAGGCAGGCACTCAACCAACTGAGCCACCCAGGTGCCCTTCATTACTGTTATGTTTTGTGTTTATTTATTTTTGTGGGGGAGAGAGAATCTTAAGCAGGCTCCATACTCAATGTGGAGCCTGATGTGGGACTCTTATCTCATGACCCCAAGATCGTGACCTGAGCAGAAATCAAGAGTCAGATGCTTAACTGACTGAGCCACCCAGGTGCCCCTTGGTGCTTTTTAAATACTGAAATGTGTAAGTTCTTTTCTCTTTTCCTTCATGTATATTCTATAGCTATTTTCCTTGTGGTTACTATGGGGATTATATTTAACCTCTTAAAGTTATAACATTTTTATTGGTTTGTATTTATATTAGCCTAACTTCAGTAGCATATTAAAGGTTTACTGCTTTACAGCTGCATTCCCACCCTGTTTTTTTGTTGTAAAAGTCATAATATTACATGTTCACACATTGCTCGAAAACATAAACTAATAATTCTTTATTTATTTATTTATTTATTTATTTATTTATTTATTTATTTATTTATTTATTTATTATCTATCTATCTATCTATTTATCTATCTATCTATTTATTTATTTATTTATAGACACACAGAGAGAGAGGCAGAGACACAGAGAGAGGCAGGTCTCCAGGATCACACCCCAGGCTGCAGGTGGCGCCAAACTGCTGCACCACCAGGGCTGCCCCCTAATAATTCTTTTAAATCTATTAGTCTTGGGGCAGCCCGGTGGCTCAGCAGTTTAGCGCCGTGCTGCCTTTGGCTCAGGGCATGATCCTGGAGTCTGGGATCGAGTCCCACGTCGGGCTCCCTGCAGGGGGCCTGCTTCTTCCTCTGCCTATATCTCTGCCTCCTTCTCTTTGTGTCTCTCGTGAATAAATAAATAAATATGTAAACAAATTTTTTTTTTTTTATCTAGGAATATTTTTTTTTTTCCTTTTGACGGATAGGTTTGCTGGATAGAAGATTCTTGGTTCACAGATTTTTCTTTTAGTATTTTATATATATTAGCCTGCTACTTTTCTGGCTTCTAAATTTTCTTTTTAAAAATATTTTATTTATTTATTTTAAATAGAAGGTGAGTGTGAATGGGAGGGAGACGGGGTGGGGGAAGAATCTCAAGCCAACTCAGCACAGAGCAGAGAGCCTAATATGGGGGGGGTGTCTCATGACCCTTAGATCATGACCTGAGCCAAAACCAGGAGTTGGATGCTTAGTTGACTGAGCTACCAGATAGCTACCCTTGACCTCTAAAGTTTCTGGTGAGAAATGCAGTCTTTTTGAGGATCCCTTGTATGTGCTGATTTGCTTCTCTCGCTTTCAAGATTCTTTTCATCTTTTGAAAGTTTATAATGTGTCTCATTATAGGTTTCTTTGAGTTCATATTCTTTGGAGTTCATTGAGCTTCTTGGGTGTTTATTATATTCATATCTTTCCTCAAGGGAAGTTTTCAGTCATTCTTTTTTGAAATATAGTCTGCCCATTTCTCTCTCTCCTTCTGGGATTCCCACAGTGTGTGTTGGTCTGCTTGTTGGTGTCCTAGCAGTCTCTTAGGATCTGTTCACTCTTTTTTCAATTCTTTTTGTCAGTTCCTTAAACTTAATAATTTCCATTCTTCATGTTCAGTGATCTTTATTTTCTTCTCCCTACTGAAAAATACTTTTGAATCCCTGTAGTGAAATTTTCATTTCATTTTTTTGTACTTTCAGCGCCAGGATTTCTTTGTGATTTCTATCATTATCAGTATTTCCATTTCATTAATATATTGTTTTTACTTTCTCCACATTTTCCTTTAGTTCTTTGATCATCTCTAGGGCAGTTGTTTTGAAGTCTTTGTTTATATATTTACCATCAGGTCTTTTTAGGGACTGTTAATTTAGTTTTTTCCTTCAAATGGGCTATGCTTTCCTGTTTCTTTGTATGCTTTGCGATTTTTTTTGTTGAAAACTAGACATTTGGATCTAATAATACGATAATAACTCTGGATATTGGATTCTCATCCTTCCCCAGGTTTTCCTGTTTATTTTCTTTTTGTTTTAGATTGTTGTAAGGTGTCTCTGCTAAGGACTAGCTGGAGGTATAAACTTAATATTTTTAAAGGACTTAGATTCTGAATCTTTTTCCTCAGCATGCATTGTCACTGTAATTTTCTTTGTTTATGTAGTTGTTTTTGTATGTATTTAACTTTGTCCTAATCTTCCCCTGGAAGTTGCAAGGCTATTAAAGACTTAGAATTTCAAAATAGTTACAGGAGACTGATGTTGCCAGTGTAATTGTTGTCTATGTTGGGAGACAGCTTCCTGGTGCTTCTTACAGTTTGCCTTCTTTCTAGAATCTTCTATAATATGTTTTGAAATTAGGAATTATCAGATCTCCAACTTTATTCTTTTTAAAGATTGTTTTGGCTGGTAAGAGTCTTTTGCCACTCTACATTAATTTCAGGAAGAATTTTTCCACTTCTTCAAAAAGCACCGTTGGGAGTTTTGGTAGGGATTGCATTGAATCTGTGCATTGTTTTCAGTACTATTGATATGTTAAAAATATTAAGTCTTCTAATCCATGAACATGGATTTTTTTTCATTTATTTGTGTTGTCTTTAATTCTTTTTATTTATTTATTTATTTTAAAGATTTTATTTATTCATGAGATACACAGAGAAGGAGGCAGAGATACAGGCAGAGGGAGAAGCAGGCTTCATGCAGGGAGCCCGACGTGGGACTCGATCCTGGGTCTCCAGGATTAGGCCCCGGGCTGAAGACGGTGCTAAACTGCTGAGCCACCCGGGCTGCCCTGGTCTTTAATTCTTCTCTGCACTGTCTTTTGAGTTCTCTTAGTTTATTTTAATATATAATGATTCACCACTTGGGCCCATTGGAGTCTATTATTTTTCAAAGTATTTTATGCATGAATAATTTATATAGATAAGAATGAAGGGGTGGTGGAAAATAGCTTCATTTTTTATAAGATTTTGACATAGCAGACTTCTTTATCAAGTATATTTTGGCAAATGCATCAGAAAGATAAAAGAATACTATAATGTCTTTTTAGCAAAGTGAAATGGTAAAGGCTCTTATCACACAGTATTCCATGGTGACTTCCTTCCTGTTGAATAACTTAATGAAAATACCTCAATTTTTTCCGTTCTTAGAAATAGGTCATTAAGTCATTGATTTTTTTTTTTTTAAGATTTTATTTATTCATGAAAGACACACAGAGAGAGGGAGAGACACAGAGGGAGAAGCAGGCTCCATGTAGGGAGCCTGATGTGGGACTTGATCCGGGACTCCAGGATCTCGCCCTGGGCCAAAGGCAGGTGCTAACTGCTGAGCCACCCAGGGATCCCAAGTCATTGATTCTTAAGCTTGAGATTGTTTCATCTGAGCTATTGTCATCTAAAGACTCATACTTTTAGACTTTATTCCTGTGATGCATTTCACCATTAGAGTCTAGAGTGAGTGCTACTATCTGGCTTTTTGCATTTTTTTTTTTTTAAGAATTTATTTTTTCGTGAGAGACAGAGACATAGGCGGGAGAAGCAGGCTCCATGCGGAACTCCAGGATCATGTCCTGGGCCGAAGGCAGGTGCTCAACCGTTGAGCAACCCAGGCATCCCAGGCTTTTTGCATTCTTGTTTTCATTTATTAATAATAGTGAAGTATCCTTTGTCAGTTTTCTTGTCATTGCTCTGAGAAGCAGGAAATAAAAAATTTAGAATTGTCTACTGTATATAATGAAAGCTAAAAGACAACAAAGATCACTCTGTGGTCTTTTATGTCTTCTTGAAAGATGATACAACAGTTTGGGCAATGCAGTAAGAAAATTGAAAGGTGGCTTTTCACTGTTGCATCACACTTCTAGGTGATTTAATCATTCTCTCATTTTTAAAAAAATACTATTTTAGGGCAGCCCCGGTGGCACAGCGGTTTAGTGCCGCCTGCGGCTCAGGGTGTGATCCTGGGAACTTGGGGTCGAGTCCCACATAGGGCTCCTTGCAGGGGGCCTGCTTCTCCCTCTGCCTGTGTCTCTGCCTCTCTTTCTCTCTGTGTGTCTCTCATGAATAAATAAATAAAATCTTAAAAAAATACTATTTTAGTTTTATTTTAAAGCATAATGGAAATAATTGATGGATAACGATAAATAAGTGGCACAGTATTTTAAGGTAGAGGAAAAGTAAGAACACTAAGATCACACAATTTTTCTTAGATTTTTAGACCCCAGTGCACTCAAATCATAATTGCAACATAGATTGGGTTTTGTTTTTCAAAAATAAGTAATTTTTTTTTGTACTTTGGAAAATGTCTAAGATTTAGTCTTGAAATATCAATCCAGACTGCTCATGAAAGAAACTCAAGAATAAAATTGGGTGCAGTAGACCCTAACAGTATACTGAAGGTTAAAAGAAGTAGGAGTCCTTTGTTGTTTAACAAAAAATCTTTTGGGGTGATGTAATTCTGGAATTGACTGAAAAAAAAATTTTTTTTTTATCATTTAAGGCTTTAGGGGACCAGATAATATTTGTAAATCGTCCTGATAAGAAGAAAATTCTTTTCTTCAATGATAAGAGCTGTCAGTTTTCCGTGGATGAAGGTGAGCCTTTCTGTTATTTTTCAAGTATGTTACAAATATAGGATGACACAATTTATAATCCAAATATAACTTAAATTTTATAGTAGTGCTCATTAGCTTTATCATCTCTTAGAGCGTAGCTAATAATCTCAGCACTAACAGTGTTTCTCAATGCAATTTGAAATATATAATTTGAAAGATTTTAGGTTAATTGTAATCGTATAGTAGGTTATGATATCTTATGCTTATAGCTCAGCTGTACTAGTTTATTTCTAATATTCTACAAGTATTCATATCTTGATGTGAAAGCTTGATACAGGATGGGAAAAAAACCTTTTTCTTGGTGACTGATATTCTCTTAAGTAATTTTTGAGTCTTTTGATTATCAGATTGGATAGGGAAAATGACTTTTTTCTGACTCTTGTCGAGTCAGATGCTAATAAGCTTCTGAGGAGTCTTGTACTAAATGTGTGATGCCTGTGTTTTGGATTTTAGTTAAAAAATATTTCAGGGGCACCTGGATGACTCGGTTGATGAATGTCTGACTCTTGATTTTGGCTCAGGTCATGATTTCAGTTCCTCCTCTTACGCCCCTCTCTTCCCCCTTGTGTGCAGGCCCTCTCTGTCCCTCTCTTTCTTTCAAATCTTTAAAAAATATTTCATCAGTATTTGTCAGATAAAATAGTAAACAAGAGTTTAGTCTTGGGAAATCTCTAGCATACAAGTAGAGAAATTCTCAATTAGAAAAATGTGATATTGTACTGTAAATCTGTAGTAATTTTAAACTGAAAGGCAAGAAAATAATTAAATGCCATATTAATTATAAAATTTGAAAAGTAGTACAAACTCATACCAAAAAATTCTAACAGTATAGAATTACATAAAGTAAAAAAGTGACACTAGATTGCAAATAGTGAAACTAACTGCTATAACTGTCTGGTAGTGCTAGTGACTCTTGTTTATTGTATCGAATAAAAGAGATTCTATTGAAGAAATAATGTATTAAAAATGCACATAGAATTCTTGTCCCTTTAGTAGCCCATACATGTCTTGATTATGACTTTGTATTTTGTACAATAGCGCTGAGATTTTTTTTTTTTAATATGTTATCTGGCTGTAGATATTTGGGCTTGTGGTGCTTGTAGATAGGAGTTCAGTCAACCTGAAGTTACTTTAGATGACCATGATTTGTTTTAGGAAATAGAATGTTGTGTTTTGGTGGAAAATTGTGCTTGAGAGTACTTTGCGTGTAGTTGGTTCTCAGTAAATGTTTGTTACTTTAGAAAATTTTTTTCAAAGTATTTCAGTTATTCTGTATTGTACTATGTAATAAGGTAAGCTTTTTGTATGTAAATTAGGTAGAAGTGAACTTCTTTAAAAATTTAAGTTTGGGCAGCCCAGGTGGCTCAACGGTTTAGCGCTGCCTTCAGCCCAGGGCATGATCCTGGAGACCCAGGATCGAGTCCCACATCGGGCTCCCTGCATTGAGCCTGCTTCTCCCTTTGCCTGTCTGTGTCTCTGCCTCTTTCTCTCTGTGTGTCTCTTGTGAATAAGTAAATAAAATCTTTAAAAAATTATTTTTGAAAGTTTAAAAGTTAATTCCTTTATTCTTTGACATAGTTAATCCATTTGAAAAAAAAATGTACAGTTTTAAAGAACATTGAGTATCACCTATTCAGGTGGGAAGATCTTACAGTGAAAAGTGTATATATTTTTTCCTTTCACTATTTTGGGTCCCTTTGTGGCAGTACTTAACTGGTTTAAAATTTTTTTTTTTTTTAAGATTTTACTTATTTATTCATGAGAGACACACAGAGGCACAGACATAGGCAGAGGGAGAAGCAGGCTCCATGCAGGGAGCCCGATATGGGACTTGTTCCTGGAACTCCGGGATCACGCCCTGAGCCAAAGGCAGATGCTCAACTGCTGAGCCACCCAGGTGTCCCTATTTTAATTCTTTGGGTGGTTTTTCCCTTAATGTATTAAATAATATGCTTGTATTTTTAGTTCTTGATTTTTCAGCTTGAAGTATTAGAATGACTTACTCTTTTATTGCTGATTAAACCTTCTGTCTCTCCACTTTCTAATACAGTATAGCACTTGTTTTAGTTTCTCTACCATTTTTCTGGTATCTTTAACAATCAAAATAATTGAATGTTCTTTGGGAAGTTTTAGCATTAAGTCTGCTCTTCAGATGGCAGCATAGTGTAACTTATCTGTTCTGTTACATAGATATTCAAATTGAAGCAAATATTGAGGTTACAGTAGCTCTTTAGGAGTAGTATGGAACTCTAGGATTTCTTGATAATATTTATTGGAGAAATTTTAAGAGTATACTTTCTGTTCTGCTGTAATTCTCACACTAATCATTATACCAAATCATTAGTATTTTCTGTCCCCAGTGTGATTTTTCTGTGGATATCTGTGTTTTAACTTTGCTCAGCCTTTTCCTGTTTGCGCATCTTTTTCTGTATTTCTATTTCTTAATATTACCCCTGTTTTCATTTGCCATTTTTTTAATGGGCTTTGTTGGCTTAAACTTTTCCCATCTCCTCATTACTTGGTTTATAAGGACAGGATGAGGATTAATTTTCTTTCTTTCCCTCCATCTCTCCTTTTCTCTCTGTAATTTATTTGAGGGAGAGATTGGGATGGGAAGGAGCAGTAGGAGAGGGAGAGAGGATTTTAAGCAGACTCTGGGCTGAACAGGAGTCCAGTGCAGGACATGACCCTGAAATCATGACCTGAGGTAAAACCAGGAGTCAGACGCTTAACCCGACTGTACCACCCAAGTGCCCCAAGATGAGGATTTTCACTTTTTTCCACTCAGATGATAAGTAACCATATATGCTTGGTAGTAAAATCCCACATATCTGGAAATAAATTATATAAGTTGATGTTTATTTTTTTTTCTATTAGAGATATTCTATAATGCTATGTGGCTACTTAGTATTCCATTATGTATGTGTACCTGATGAATGGATATTTTAAGTACTTAATGCTGCAGCAAATATTCTTAAACCCTTTACATGCTGCATATGTGTATGCATTCTTTATGTTAATGAAATAGCTATATATATCAGAAGGTATTGGGAAGGGAAATTGATAAGTTATTTTTGCATCTATTAAGTCTTTGTTGTTAGCTTATTTAATAGGTTTTGAAATGTATTACTAAGATTTCCTAAAACTGGCTGTCCTTATATGCCTAGAATAACCCTTTTTTAACTTTATATATCTCTGGACTCTTTTTCTATGTATTTAAGGACTTTTGCTTTAGTATCCAGTTTCTTTTTTTGTTTACTTTCTCAGGGTTTGGTTTGTGTGTGATGCTGGTACATCAAAAGAGAAGTACAGTTTTCCCTTCCTCTCTTCCTTCCTACCCTTTGCCCTCCCTTTCCATTTTTATGAGAATATTCAATTACTTGGAAGATTTGAACACAGATGCCCATGAGTAGTATTTGTCTTTGTTGCCTCTTTGACAGTATTCTTTATCTCTTCTTTGGTTATGTCCTTCATTAACTTTCCCACCTTGTGAATTAATTTTGGTAATTTTTGTTTTCCTAAAATCCATTTTTAATTTCAAATTTAATATGGTTTTGGGAGAGTATGGCCCTATAATTTAATTTTTTTCTGTAGTTTTCCCTTTTTTATTGCTAACTTTTTGTATTTGGACTTTCTTTTCCTTATACTGTTGGTTTATCTATTTTACTTTTGTATTTTTGTTTTAAAGGAAAATACAATCTGTCAAATCACCCTTTATGTACTAGTTTTTGACTATTTGGTATGAGTAGTGACTGAGCAAACATTAAAATCTGCCATTACTTTTTTGTTATGTTAATTTTGCTATTCCTTCCTGTATATGTTTTCCTGCAGAGTTTTTGGTTTGTTAAGATTTTTGACATTCATGGTGTAAGGATTGTGTTCAAAATCATTGTAAAGCATCCCTCTTGGTTGTATTTAATGTTCTTTTACTTTGAAATCTCTCATATTATTCTTTTAATCCCTTGCCCTTTTTTGGGGACTCATATTTTTCCCATTCTTTTACTGTATACCCTGTCATCTTTTGTTTAAATAATTTCTTTGTAATTGGCAGAAAGTTGGTTTTAACGTTCTGAAGTGTCATTTTATATTTATTATCTTTATTACATGATATATTCGCCCCATTATTTGGTACGTGTATAATTTTGGGAGGTTCTCATATACAAAGTGATTCTCTAGATCTCTAAGTAATTTGCTTAAACTTCTAGGTATCATTTTATCAACTTCATTTTTATTTCCTAGTTAACACTTTCTGGGGACTCTGGGTAACAATTTATTATTGTGTATTCATGAATTCACTTATTCAGCACAAATTCAGATGTCCTGTTATATGCCCCAGTCATTTTGCTAAATGCAGGGGACACAGTAATGAAGGAGGTATGCAACTCTCTGCCTTTGTGGAGTTTATTACATAGTTTTGAAGGATAAAATAGACAACATAAAAAATAAAAAATGATGACAGATTGTATCAAATTCTAGAAAAGAGACAAATAAAGTAGTGCAAGATAGTAAATCCGTAGGAGGGGTGGAACTCAGAGAAGACTGCTGTGGAAAAATGAGATGGAGCTAACCTTGCAAAGTACCAGAGTGGTGTCCATGTATGTGCCATTGTGGAGTTCAAGCAGAGAGTAGTAAAGGCGAAGGCTATAGTAAAGATTCTGATTTTTTTCATAGGTTAGTGGTTTTTAATCATTAAATCTGATTCAGTGCAGCCTGAGAACAAATATTTTGTAATCTGTTCGTTAGTCATATATAATTTCTGGATCATATAGCCTACTTTGAGACATAATTTCTTAAGTCAGTATAATGCAGGGAGGCCTGGCTGGCTTAGTCAATAGAGCATGTAACTCTTGATCTCCAGGTGGTGAATTAAGTGCCACATTGGGTGTAGAGCTTACTTAAAAAAAAAGTGGGGCCCCTGGGTGGCTCAGTCAGTTAAATGTCTAACTCTTGATTTTGGTTCAGTTCATAGTCTCAGGGTT